AGGAAATTAGATAGACAGGCAGACAGACAGACTGACTGACTTATAAAAGGGGATTTATTAGATTGGCTTACAGGGTCAGAAACCGTGGAGTTCTATAATGGCTGTCTACACACTAAAGAACTGGATAAGCCAGTAGCTGTTCAGTCCAAGAAGCTAGAGCTCAGAAGAGGGACCAATGATGCAGCCCCAGTCTAGGACCTGAGGCCCGGGAATGCCCTGGCGAGTTACTGGTTAGTCCAAGCACCCTCCCAGAGAGAGAAAATGGTGCCTGTGTCCAAGTTGATTTCCCTTTTTCTCTGCCCTCCTGTCCCATTGGGCTGTACAGTCCATATTTGGGGTTGGTCTATCCTCCTTAGTTTGCTGTCCCACATTTTCAATAATTTCTGGAAACACTCTCATCAACATACACAAAAGTGTCTTAATCCAATCAAGCTGACAATCCATATTACCCTGTTCATACCAGGCAAGCAAGCAATCAAGGGAGAGGGTGGAATTAAGACATTTTCAGATGTTCAGGGGTCTCAGGAAGCTACTAATGGGTGTTCTGTACCAGGAAAAAAAAAAAAGTGAGGAAGTAAAACAAGAAAGACATGGGATTCAAGAATCAGGACATTTGAATTTGAAAGAGGCAAAAAGAAACCCCCAAAATGATGGTGGACAAAGAACCCCATGTAGTAGCTCTACCACAGAACTGGCAAGTACTCAGTCAAGACTGGACAGGTAAGAAGGCACCTGATGAAGTTGATAGAATGTCTAAATTCCTAGTGAGAGGACATTTACACAACAGCTAGAGAATTGAGACTGAATTAGCAGCATGTACCTATAAAATCAAGCAAATAAAAAAATAATAATTAACTCCAGGGAAAGCAAATTGTTATATTGAAAAGGAAAATGAATCATTGTATACTGCACGGCTCAGCTGCAACCAGCAGTTACATAAATCATGGTAACATAAATTCTATTAATTCACTCAAAATTGGGGGTATGGGAGAATAGCAAGCATGCCTGGAATAGGGGGCGGTGCTGAAGAAAAGAGAAATTCTCTTGTCTCCTAGTGGGAAGACAAATAGATAATACCTGAAAATAATAAATCAAAGAAGCAGTATAAGCATATTTATCAAAGCAGAGTGTAAAAGGTAGAAACCAAAAGAATCAACTAAAGTAATTGAAACACTTGCCTCTGAGGTTTGAGGAATGGAGAAGCATATTATGGGAGATACTGCTGTAATAACCAGTGAAGAGCTAATACACTCCAAATTATGGCCATATATTGTGAAAATAATAATTACCAAATTAAGAAAATACATCATCAGGAAAAGCATGTTTGCCTTCCAATTTTCTACTTCAAGTATATCTTTTTGTTTCCCCCAGTATCAGGAATAGAAACCAGGGCCTCATACATGCTAGGCAAGCACTCTACCACTGAGCTACACTTCCAGCACCCTGAAGATCCATCTTTTTAAAAATGAAAGAGAGCAAGAAGTGGTAGCTCCACACCTATAATCCCAGCAGCTTGGGAGGCTGAGGTGGGAAGGTCCCAAATTAGAGGTTAGCCTGGACAACTTGGTGAGACCCTGTCTCCAAATAAAATTAAAAGGACAGGAGTGTGGTTCAGTGTTAGAAGGCCTCTGGGTAAATCCCCAGTTCTAAAGGGAG